ATGTGATTTAAACCAAATTAAATCTACCAAATTATTATGCAGTATTAATTTGTATAGATTTTCACCCAAACTAGATATACTATCCTAAACGTATTGGACAAAAAAGATATTTTATTCAAATGATAAATTAAGATAAATTTGCATGAAATCAGTATACCAAATAATTTCCCAAGCTCAAGTTGGGTGGAGCTCAGGTTGACTCTGAGGAAGCTCAGGGTGGAGCTCAAGTTGAAGCTCAGGGTGGAGCTCAAGTTGAAGCTCAGGGTGGAGCTCAGGGTGGAGCTCAGGTTGACTCTGAGCAAGCTCAGGTTGAAGCTCAAGATTGCCATTACATACCTCACTGTTCTATTGCAAGTGTTTGATCTGCAGCCTCAAACTACAGACGGTAAAAATGGGAACTTCGTTGGATGACATCATCGAGGTATAATATGTCATTTCATCACCATGTCATAGACTTTAGGGATTGACCGTTTGAATTCATAGGGGTGGTCGCTGGAAGATTTCTTGAAAAAAAAATGCAAGATTAGAGACACCAAGAGAGAAAAATATAAGATTACATGCCAGGAGCTGCAGGATCATTCATGGTGGAAATGGGACGATGAGTAATCTCTGTTCCCTTGACTTTTAAACTGCAATTGTCAAGTGAATATATCATTAATTCAAAGCGATGCTATGAAAATCTAATTTTCAAAGAATTTTAGAAAAAAAAGATGTATTCGTCTAGTAGGCTATTCCTAGTTTGACGTTCATGGTGTTATTTTGTAGTAGCAAATAGGTAGTCGCAACACTCCTTACGTATTAAAGGTCAACTTAAAAAAATATATACGTCTATCTACATGTAGTTTATTTTCCCTAGAGAATTTTACCTGAAATGAATTATTTCTAAAAATTTTTAAAAATGACAATATTTGTGCTTGATTGATATTGTAAACAAAATCATGTTGAGCATTTGTTCAATTGAGCAAGATGTTTCATAATTTGTATTTTATATGAAATTGGTAAATTCTTTTTTAATAGTTACCTGATGTCTGTAGTTTCCCCATGTGTTCGAGCCAGCTACAATGAGAGCCCAGTTGACACCTTTCGTTGGCTCTGCTAGCGCCTCTGGTGCATCCAAAATATGGGAAGGCAACGCAAACGAGCTAGCAATCAGAGTCAAGCAGAGAACTAGGAGTCGAATCATTGTGATGTACTATGTGATATGATATTGGTAACTGGTGAAATTTCTCGCTCTGTGAATGTATAAATAGGGTTTAATCATGTGATTTTTGTCATGTGATTTCAAATTTCTCTCTCGTACATTTTTGTGTTTGTAATGATGCTTGACCTTTGAGCTCATAATTTTGATTTGACATTCTGATTGTATCGTTAGTACCTGTGTTGGTGTATATGCCAGTGCTATTATTAACTTTGTGTGTCAGTGATATGGACATTACCCCTGGTGTATTGATCTAGGCAATCCCCCTCCTCCCACCCATTGGAAATATCTACTCCGAATGGGTGGCTTCAAGGCTTAAAGCGTGGTAGTCGTCGCGCAGCGCGTGTTCGAATTTCATGTAAATAAACAATGTATTTTACACGCATTGTATACGTCGCTATGAGTCTCGTATCCAACATGACGCGGCACGATGACTGTCGCCCTTTAACTTAATCCATTCCTTGTTGATGATGTAATAGTATATATGATACTATTAAAATTATTGGAGATGGATTTGTGATCAATATACCCATACTGTCAATTAAACTGCATTTATATGTTAATTTTTATCCCAAATATTCATTTCATTAGGTGTGATGCCTCTGTAATACATTAAATAATAGTACAAACATTATGGGAAATAAAATAAAGTGATTGCTTCATCCCTCAAATTACTAATAATTGCCCACTAAACCCTTCTATTTGTCATGCCCTGACTTGGTCACCTGATCTGTCATACAATCATGTGACTAATGTGGGTGTGAAAGTTTTTTTTTGTTCCAGTCATAATATAAATGATATTGTGATTTATTTAGGGGGGAGTATTTTTTTTTTTTTTGATAAATATTTTTTTAGTACTCATAAACAAAAAAATATAGGACTTAAAACAAATACAAAAATAAACAGCAATAACTTAATACCATATAAAAGTGGTGTGTTTGATCTTCTATTGTGTTGAACAAACTTTTGCAAGCATTGTGTAAAAATGTTGGCAATAAATTTTAATATTTTGGCATTTTAGTATTGAATTTTCAGCATAAGTATATGCCTTTTCTTACCAAAATAGCTATTGTAATCCATATATAGGTCCAATTTTGAATATTGCTATTTCACATAGCTAGATGAAATCAACTGCCAAATTCATCGGAGATTAGTGTTAATTGTTTTGTTCATTCTCTGCAAAAATAAGAAAACTAAATGTCACATACAAGAAAAATTTGGACATTAACCATGATTCTCTGGCCCTAATAGTAGATAATGTATAATCACTTTTATTACTGGCCATTCCTATAACAATATTTACTTTTTTACATTTCAGATAAATATCAATATTCCTTTTTCTGGTAAGCATCTGACCTCTGTCATGTTGGTGCCTTCACCATCCACTAATCCATTGCACTACGCCGTTATTCTCACACACGGCGCTACAGGTAATATGAACAACACTCAGCTACAAACAATATCGCAGTATCTGACGACAAAGGGTTTCATTTGCTTACGATTTACGTATATCTCGTCCAGAGTTGAAAACAGAATGAAGGCTTACCACGCTGTGGTGGTGAGTGATCAGTATACAGATTATTTATTCATTTTGACATTTTAGTAATAGTATTAGAGAAAAAAATCTATTGCGATATTACCTGTCACTTCCAATATAATCCCCCGCTTCCTTTTTATCCGTAATACTGTTATTAATGGTAAAGAGGTTCAGACTTGATTGAAGATTATTTAATTTCCTCATATTCTCTTTATTTTGGGTTTATGCCATTAGAATACAGAACATAATAAAACAAATTGTCCAAATTTTTTTTTTACTTGATTTCATTTAAATACTAATACTGTAATACTAATAATTTTGCTATTTTAATTTTTTTAGTAATTCACTGGGATTTAAGTTCATGAATTTGTCAGGAAATTTTACGTGGATTTATTTTAGCAGATTATATTTACCAGCGAAAATAGTGAAATTTAATTTTAATTTTGTGAGATTCTAGTCTGATATTATTATTCAATAAGATTCAATCTGATGTTCTCTCCCACAATCCATTGCATACACACTCAATATTAAAGGGGAAGTCAAGGCAAACAACATAATGCAACATAATGTAAGAGCTCTACAAATGTAAGAAAATGCAATTAATGATGGTGGGCTACATGAACTGATGAAAAATGTTAAATAAATAGATAATGAAAAGTGATATAAAAAACACATTGTAAATTGCATTTTCTTACCTTCGCCAGGCTTTTTCATCTGGGTGTATTATGTTGTTAGCCTTGACTTTTCCTTTCACATGCTCTGTAGTATAAAATTTAAATTTGGCTGAAATGCCTTAAATATAGTGTGACTATAGCTTTTGTTTTTAAACATTCCAAAAATGCATGAACTCCACTTCATGATACTAATAATTTACTGTGGTTATTTTTTAACACAGCCAGCTTTTTTGTCATCGCTTACAGTTTTATATCAAATTTAACGAAAAAAATTATTAATAGTTAATTGGAAAAAGTATTCACTAGTGTGAAATTTAATCATTGCGAGTAAATTTACTGATCCATGTAAGCCATAAACCTGCACCTGTTAAAACTTTTTCAGTTTATTTTGTCTCGTCTTAGCTTTTATTGACTCAATATTCCATAATTCATGCATATTTATATATTATTAAATGATATGCAGCATCACATTAATTATTGCAGTGTTTCTGCAATTTTTGGTCAATTTTTACTCATTTAATAAATATGTTTGATTTTCTTTATATACAGGAATTTTTACAAAATTATAAAGAGGTGTCTCTGAAAGGATGCTTTGTCGCTGGTAAGATGTGTAG